CTCTGGGAGTGAAGGGGTTGCAGTCAAAAGCAGAAAAATCTCTGCAAAAAGCAGAGGGGAAAAAAACCAAAAACAGATATCCGTGTCACCAAGTGCTGCACTGTTGGTGCAAAGAATGATAAAATGGTGTGAAACCACCTAGGAAATGACAGGTTCGTTCTCCAGATCCTGGCGCTTCTCTGTGACGTGTCTCAGTGGAGAAGCTGCGTGACTGGGGGTCTGTCTCCAGGGACACCCACTCACCAACCTGCAGTTTCACTTTTGCTCTTTTTTTTTAAAAAAAAAAGTGTATTACTCTACTGCCGATGTTATGACATTTCCAACTCAGATTTCCCTGGCTCTTAAGTCTGTAAACAGCCCTGGAAACCTCACGGCTTTGCATTTCCCTGCTGTGATGCTTCAGCAAGATCCCTTGTGAGCCGACCTGAACTGATCTGCTTTAAGGAGGGGAGAACCGTCCAGCCCAGTCACCCTGGTGTCTGCAAACATTTCCAGGTGCAGACCACCCCGCATGGAGAAATACGGGAGGCCAGATGACTTACCCCTAAAAATGTCTCTTTTTTTTTTTTTTTTTCCTTCTTCCTGGTTGGCTGTGGATTTGCTCAGCTGGAGAGCTTGGCCCTGATGGATGAGAAGGGGAGACATCAGCTGTGGGGGGCCGGGGTGTTGCTTGAAGGACTCAGGGGTTTCTTTGGAGGCTTTTGAGTGACCAAACCAAACAAAAAACAATGAAAGACTGTTTTACAGTTCTTTTGTTCGATGGTGAGCATAAAGGAACCATGGAAAAAGAGTATCTGCTTTAGAAGAATTCTGATTGCAAAATAGGTTACGTAAGCTCTTGTATCATTTTAAGCTATTATTATAATGGCACTTGAAACAATCTGGCCTTTGCTTCACATCCATGTGTGCATAATTTCCACAACATAGAAGCTCATAACCCACTTGGGAACAGCATCTCGGGCACGCAGAAGCAGCAGCAAGTCAAGGGGGAGAGGGCTCTCGTGATGATAAGCTCCTTGAGGTGCAGAGGTTTTTATAAGGATGCAAAACCAGATTTGATTTATCTTCTGATTTTCTTTCATTCTGAAATCAAAATGAGGGAAAAAAAAAATCAAATCATGCTTCTCCTGTAAGATTTCTATTGAAAAAGGAGAATGGTCTGGGCTGCTGGGATGTGGAGGGGCTGGAGAAGGGGAATTTAAGTGCAATAACGTGTATTAGGTGAGAAAATATGCTGCTTGGATGGAGAATATTATGCAGTGTTGTTCTGTCTGACATACAAATTGGGTATGGGAAGGATTTGTGGGTTCATGTTCATAAACAGACTGCATCTCCTGGCTCCCAAATACCCAGCTACGTCTGGAAAACGGGTGCTCAGAGTCTGCAGGTTCTGCTCAGTGTAATTCTTACTTATTTCTTTGTTTCATAGAAAACTGAGATGAAGGTTTGGAGCAGAAAACACATTATGTGAGTGCAATGTCTTGTAAAAGGCAGCTGCAGGACCCTCTGGATATTAGTATAATGCTATTGCTGCAGATAACAAATAATATTAGCTGGAAATGGTTTCTAGCTGTTAGGCAAAATTATTATATTGTCAAATGTGATGAATGAGGGAAGTGGAGAAGGCTTTAGCATCCCATTTTGGTAGTTATGTTCTGTAATATTATTCTGAATGCTTCTTGCAAATCTCCCTCGCCCACCTGCTCCAACCTTCCCCTTGGGGTCTTTGCTTCCCTCTTGAGCAGCATCAGGCTATACCCAGGTAAAAAAAAAGTCCAGTTCCTCAAAGCAAATGAACAGCTCACATTGTAAAAAAGGGGGAAAACTCGATTTGAAAACTGTGAAGTCATTTGGGTGGATTTCCTTCTTTTCTGTGGGCATGCTGGCAGTGAGGTGCCACACTGGGGCTCTTCGTTGCAGGCTCCACTTCTTCTCAGGAGGTTCTAGAAAGGTCCCCTCCTCCTCGAGGCTACGTCCCAGCAATACAACGCGCAAGGAGGGACAGAAGTCCAAGAAATGGCTTTACATTAATAATTTCCAGAGATAAAGGCGCATGTGCTGGAAATGCTGCCTCCTGGGTGAAGCTCCTGTGAAGGACACAGCGGGGACCCCAGTGACTCGGGGGAGGTTTATTCCCTTATAACAAAACAAAATTCTAAGAAGTGACAGGTGATGTTCATTTTTTTGGGTCCATTTTGGGGGCTTTTTTACCCCCGTTTGCCAATAGGTGATGGAAGGGGAGGAAGCGGTGCTGCTGGGGGGTCTCAGCATCTCACCCCTGTGGCTGCAGTGGCTGGTTTCCCACTACAGTTCGTGGTGAGGAGCCACCACCCCAGACCACCACGGGATTTTTATGGCAGCTGGTAACATCCTACCCACTGGCGCTGGGGAAAACCCGAATTCATCCTTTCTCCACAGCTTAGTTTTTCTTTTCCTGATGACTAACCAAGGGGAGAGCACAGCGCTCCCCATTTCCTCATAGACCATGCTCCCTCTTCCTCTAGATTGCAATTTTGAATCCTTTCCAGTGCCCCATCCCAGGGATTGGGGAGGAATTTCCAAACTGTGGATGAAAAAGGCATGCAAGCCTTGAGGGGTTGGGGGATGGCTAAGCACCTCCACGACGCTGGGCTCTGCACAGCTCCCTGCTCCATGCGCTGGCTGCTTCCCATCCTCGGGGCACTCCCTGCAATTAAAATAGTGAATAAAATTCATATTTTTAAATTTTTCTCAGAAAAACTCGTCTCTGCAAAATGACTTGTAGAGAGGAGCAGAACAATCCTATATGTATCAGGAGGGGAATGCTGGAATCATTGTGTAGTGATAATCTGTGTTTGATGATGGTGCAGCCAATACAGGATTATTATATCAAGTTTTAATGATCATCCTTCAAGAAGAATGTTAAAACATAAAGAAGGTTGGGAGAAAAATCACGAGAATGTTTAAAAGTTTGGAAAATGTTTATTACGGTGGGAGCCTCTGGGCACTCATTTCATAAGGAAGAGTATGAGCATCTCCTACAGGGATATACACGGGCAAGAGGGATCTGGCATCAGAGAAAAAATAAAACAAGATCTTGAGGTGGGAAATGAGTAACGAGTGAAGTGGAAATAAGGCTTTAGTTTTTAACAGTGAGAGTAATAAAAAAACCAAAACATTTTACTGGTTGATATGAACGGTTCTTCACAGCTAAACACTCTCTTAGGAGGGGATTTCAACTGAAAACTCCACTCTAGTGGAACTAGAAGGGATAGAGCTTCGTGCTGCAAGGAGACGTCAGCTCTCCCAGACTGAAGGGCCACAGTCTGCAACCACTGGGGCCAAGGGAAGATTACCGATCCATGGCACCCACTCTCCAACACAGCCTAATCCTGGGAGTCCCCAGAGCTCTTCAGAGACCTCCTGGTCCCATGAAAGCTCTTCAGGCCCCTGGCCTTGGCGTGCTCCTTAGGGCGTCTGCAAGATCCTGGGTGGAAACCTCTTTAACACGTGTACAGCTCTCCTCTCCTGTGAACAGAGGGTCAGTGCTGACTTTTCACGTGCTAACGAACACAAAGGCATCTCTTTTTTTCCCTGTCTGGAGCCCATGGTGCCTCCTCATTTGGAGCAAGAGCTGGTACCCAAGCATGGTGGCCGCTTTTAGTCAGCCAAGAGGCCAAAGCCTTCAGCGACTCTTACAAGCTCCTGCTCCTACGCTCATGACAGAGAAGATGCTTTGCACGTTAGGGACCCAATGTAGCGGGAAACTAAATATTTAAAAAACCATTTTAAACCCCCCATCTTCCACCAAAATCAACCACTGTGTTCAGATGAACTCTTTCTTAACTCTCTTCCAATGAATTCCCAATCTACGTGCAGGAGAGTGGCTGTGTCACGTCCTTGCCTGCCTGGCAGCATCTTCTCCAGACGGTTTGGCTGGAGGTTCTCTGCTCAGAGGCAGCCAAGAGCATTCAAGGTCGATCACATGCGGTAAAGGTGTTAGTACACTGGAAATGGAAACCCTTCTAGTCTGACACGGGTGGTGGGTTGAATCCGGGTTGAGTCAGCATCTCAAGATGCAAATATTAATGGAAGAATGAGTGAGGAGACAGCCCAAGCCTTCCCCTAAATCTCCGTCACAGACCCCAATGCCTTCAATGAGCTTTGAAAGGTTCTGTTAAACAGATGCCGTAGGAAAGACACGTATTTCAGTATGTTAATCTCAGAAAAAAAAAAAAAAAATCAGGCATGTCTCAAAAGATCAGACATGCTCATTTGCACTAGACTATCTGCCTGCTCTGGAGGAAAAAAATGAATTAAATAAGCTCTAGATAAACAATTGCATTTTACAATGCTTGATAGAATCTCTGCCTAAAATTGGACATTCCTGGTGTTTTACTGACCGTTGCCTCATGTTGACTTTCCTAGTGCAGGAACCTGCGAATCAGGCTGTTGGACATAAGAGGTGGTTGATGGCACCGTATTGCACACAGACAACCTGTACAAGCTGCATCTTCAATTTATCCTTAATGTTTGCCACAGTTCTGCAATCCTGTAAAGTGATTTTGTAGTTTCTCCACCCAGGAGTAACAGTCCAGGGTCACCACCGTCGTTTGTAGGGAGAATAACTGCCACCACCCCTGAAACTCTTTAACGGAGGAATGAAATTAATGCATCCTCCACAGTGCAACGTGGAGGGGAAAGTGTAAAGAAATGTGGTACTGCTCCAGTTCGGCTTTATTTCGTGCATTTTCAGCTTTATTTAGTGCATCAGTGAATCAGTCACATCAGTGATTTAGTGACATCAGTGATTTAGTCACCGAAGGATAGAAACCAGAGCAGAAAATTATAAATATTACAGAAAGTCTGCTAAAACCTTCACAGGAACAGGCTGAAATGCACTAACACAGGATGTACCACAGTTCAGGGGAACCAAACAGAACTCCAAAGGTGATGATGTCTTAATTAACCAGATGACTGACATAAACGCCATGAGGCTTCCACTCTGCTGTGAATTTTACCCAAACAAATGAAATTTTTTAGAAAGGGGAAAGATTTTCCGAAAAAAATAGACTTTTTAACGGCAGATTTTACTTCCTTGTTCCGTAAAGCGTAAATGATGGGGTTTAACAAGGGCGTCAAAATAGAGAAGACAACGTTACTCATGATATGGACATCAGCGGGGATGTTCACTCTGTAGGACGTGTACGCCGCAGTGATGGAGGAGTAGTAAGTGCCCACCACAAGCAGATGGGAAGTACGTGTTGAAAAAGCTTTCCCGTGTCCTTCTTCGGAGTTGATCTTCAGTACGGAGAGGATGATGTGGACGTACGAGAGGGTGACAAGCAACAGAGGGACAACCGACACCGTCATGGAGATGGAGAACCCCGAGAAGGTCTGGAAATGGGCACTGAAGTCCGGGCATGTGGCTTGTACCACTGCCAACCCCTGGTTGTGTCCCTGCAAGCTTGCCGAGAGGTCTGCGTGATGGCGGGCACAGGAATTAGCAGCGTGGCGATCCAGGCGCTCGCTGCCAGCTGGATGTTCACTCTTCTTGTCATCTTGGCCCATGGAAACTGTACATCTGCAGAAAACAGCCCCCCAAACGAGATGGTTTTTAGCGTTGGCCAGGAGCATCAGCAGCATTTTGGGGATGGTGGTGGCTGTGAGTAGCACGTCTAACGCAGAGGTTAATCAGGAAAAAGCACGTGGGTTTGTGAAGCGCACGGTCGCCCACGCCCACAGTGATGATAACGGCATTACCGACCGGGATCAGCAGGTAGAATAGCAAGAACACAATGAAGAGAGGGGCCTGGAAATCCTGGAGAGCCGGAAACCCCACCAGGAAAAAGACTTTTGAGGAATCAGTTGCCGCTGCAGCTCTCCATGGTGGGGCTGGTCAGGACGCCTGCAAGGATGAAGAGGGTGTAAGGAAACAGGCTGCTGTGCAGGGAGAGGTTTCTCTAAGGAGCTTTGCAGAGGTTCTGCAAGGAAAACACACGCTGGGTGAAATCTTGCAGAGCTTAGCACGTTGCAAGGCACAGCTCAGCCCCTCTTGTCTCTAATCCACAGTTAAGATGATTTGGGTTCTCCGTGGATGACGTGTCTTTCAGCTTTGGGTGCGAAGAGCAAGGATTCTTCTCACCTAGCTTTGGGTGCTCGCCATGCAAAGCTCCCCCCCACCCCCCGCCCCATCTGCACTGGTCCTCCCGGGTCCCTTTTCTGTGGGGAAAAGGGACATTTGGGTGGATGCAGCCCCTTTGCCCCATTCTGCGCCGAGGAGGAGATGAGCAGCGTTACAGAAACACCCATTTCTGCTCTCTAAGGGAATTCAGGGAATTAGCTCAGCAGGACTCAGTCATCCATCTCGCTTTTGCTAGGTTATTATGATCTTGGCTACCCAAAGCCATTCTCATCACTGTTCTTCATGCCCATGTCACCTCTGGTTGGCTACTTGCGTCCCACTGCGTTTCCCAGCTGATTCCTGCTGCTGTTGCTGAAATTCAGATGAAAATTCAGAATTCCTGTTAGCTTCCAGGTTGGGTTTTTGTACATAAAAGCAAAGGAATTTTCACAGTGGTTTTTTGTTTTGTTTTTTTTTTTTTTCTGATGTAGATCAGCGTCATGTCTTTTACCAGAGTAAGAAATGTTTTAGAGATTCGTGAGGTTCAAAGACACTCTAATAAAAAACTAGGGATAAGTATCTGTCAGGGACTTCAGCTCAGACGGAGTGGGACACAATGTATGACAGCTTACAGCCCTTACAGATATTTTACATAATGTAGCTCCACCGTTGCATTATTCATACAAACTTGCGATACTTTCTGGATTTATCCAGGACGGGTAAGAAAGCGTGTGCCGTACTTTCCCATTTATTTTACATTATGAGCTTTTAAGATTCCTGAGTGACAAAGATTTTCTTCCCTCTCGGTAGAAACACTTCCTTTGTTGCTCATAAAGATTTAATGAAGATGGGAAAGGACTGTTCTGCCCGAACCCTATGGAATACGCTGGTTTGCTGCAGCAAAATAAAGCAGCGTTTTGGAAACTTCCAGCATCTTCTATTCAAGCACTTCCATAGGCACCGATTCCTTTGGAATTTATCTCTTTTCTCTAACACCGGGTAAATCAAAACTAAGACAATGTTCAGAAGAAAACCACCCTTGGTTTGATTAGGTTTATGCTAAAAAAAGAAGGAGAAATTAAGCTTAATTAAATTTTCATGCCTTTTCTTGGTTTCCTTACCCCAATTTAAAAGAGGGGAAATAAAGCTCTCTTGGAAATGTTTTGTGCTTGTCCTCAAGTAGTTGAGATTAATGGTTGGTCTCATGCAATTTCCTAACATTATTAAATCTCTGGTAATTTTCCAAGAGTTTTACCTTTCACCCAGAAAGTCATCTCCATAACCATATAGGGGAGATCTATTTAATATTACAAATAAATAGATTTTCTGCCGCCCTGAGATTTAAATACAATTGATATTTTGTTTACTTATCTACTTTTCTCCATTTCTCTTTCTTGTTATTATTTTTTTCCAAAGGGGTAAGCTTCAAGGATGTAATTTGTATAAACAATGACACACTATTAAAACCCCCAAGATAATTTATTGTATTGAATTAAAATTGCTGGCATGAAATGTCCTTAAATTCGCATTGATTGGAAGTTGTTTTCAGACATAGATCAAATTCTCGTTCTTTGGAGCCTGCTGACATGTATTACAATCACATTTTTCCATCCTGGACCTCGTGAGAAAAAAAGTAAATCAAAATGAAACACTTAATTACTCTGAAAAATATGATCATATTAACAGAACGGTATCAACAATAACTCACTTGCGTTTTGAAGTTATAACAAGGTCTTTCCCTTCCTTAATTTTATCCTTGGTGGGAAGTGCAAAACTCCTGCAATAAATCAACGGGCAAAGCCACTACCATTATGGAGCATATTTGAATGTGCTGCCCTGCTCCCCACCCAGAGATGCTCCCCAGAGATGACTCTGTGATGGTTTCTCGCCTTAAGCTGGGAGACCCACACATTATTTTCACAGAATTGTCTAGGTTGGAAAAGCCCTTGAAGATCATCTAGTCCAATCATCAACCTCAGCCTGACCCTTCCCAACTCCCCCAGATCCCTCAGCGCTGGCTCAGCCCGACTCTTCAACCCCTCCAGGGATCCCGGGGACTCCCCCCTGCCCTGGGCAGCCCATTCCAACGCCCAACAGCCCCTTCTGCACAGAAATCCTTCCTCAGAGCCAGCCTGACCCTGCCCTGGGCAGCTTGAGGCCATTCCCTCGGGGCCTGGCGCTGGGGCCTTGGCTCCAGAGACTCATCCCCCCTCTCTGCCCCCT